CAGTCGTCCTGGTCCCTTTGTAGAAAAACGGCCCCAATGCATGATGTTTCCTCCCCCATGCTTCACAGTAGGTATGGTGTTCTTTGGATGCAACTCAGCATTCTTTCTCCTCCAAACACGACAAGTTGAGTTTTTACCAAAAAGTTCTATTTTGGTTTCATCTGACCATATGACATTCTCCCAATCCTCTTCTGGATCATCCAAATGCTCTCTAGCAAACTTCAGACGGGCCTGGACATGTACTGGCTTAAGCAGGGGGACACGTCTGGCACTGCAGGATTTGAGTCCCTGGCGGCGCAGTGTGTTACTGATGGTAGCCTTTGTTACTTTGGTCCCAGCTCTCTGCAGGTCATTCACTAGGTCCCCCCGTGTGGTTCTGGGATTTTTGCTCACAGTTCTTGTGATCATTTTGACCCCACGGGGTGAGATCTTGCGTGGAGCCCCAGATCGAGGGAGATTATCAGTGGTCTTGTATGTCTTCCATTTTCTAATAATTGCTCCCACAGTTGATTTCTTCACACCAAGCTGCTTACCTATTGCAGATTCAGTCTTCCCAGCCTGGTGCAGGTCTACAATTTTGTTTCTGGTGTCCTTTGACAGCTCTTTGGTCTTGGCCATGGTGGAGTTTGGAGTGTGACTGTTTGAGGTTGTGGACAGGTGTCTTTTATACTGATAACGAGTTCAAACAGATGCCATTAATACAGGTAACGAGTGGAGGACAGAGGAGCCTCTTAAAGAAGAAGTTACAGGTCTGTGAGAGCCAGAAATCTTGCTTGTTTGTAGGTGACCAAATACTTATTTTACCGAGGAATTTACCAATTAATTCTTTAAAAATCCTACAATGTGATTTTCTGGATTTTTTTTTCTCATTTTGTCTCTCATAGTTGAGGTATACCTATGATGAAAATTACAGGCCTCTCTCATCTTTTTAAGTGGGAGAACTTGCACAATTGGTGGCTGACTAAATACTTTTTTTCCCCACTGTATCTGACAAATAAAACAGCTAAGATTTTATTAAAGAATAAAAAATAAATGTCCAGTCACACTTTCTTTTAAGGTCCAATTCACGCTATCAACAAACCATTAACTATGACTTTTGCCTCAACAAACTCCTAATTTGCTGCTTATTAACAGTTAGTAAGGTAGTTGTTGAGTTTGGCTATTGGGTAGGATTAGGGATGTAAAATATGGTCATGCAGAATATGTACTTTATAAGTACTAATAAACGGTAAATATGTTAATAATAGGCATGCTAATAAGCAGCTAATTCTAATAGTGAGAATTGGTCCCTATACTAAAGTTTTACCAAATGTCCTCATAAGAATTTCTCCAATAACTAAATGGTTCAAAACCTCCTGGAGGCACAATGATGCACTTACCTGAGCACTTGTATTAACTAAGTGATCTCCGTTACACGTCCAAAAATCCAATACTGTTAGATCAGAAATATTGTGGCTGTGTAACATCTAGTTTGTGGGATCCAACAGTTTAAGTCTTTTTCTATTGCAGCTATTTGTTAAAGCTGTCATCTGTCAGACTGCTGTGTTCTGACAGACGCACAAGATTGAGCAGCACACCGAAATGAATAAAGCAACAGACTCTAGCAAAACTCTGTCCTTTAATCTCACAAACAAACCTGTGGATTCTGCATAATAATAGGAACATTGCTCGCAGCAGGGGATTTGAAGTCTGATAATGATTGCCCTGAAATTTGCTGTTTAACTGAATTTGCACATAAACTTTAATCAGTGTAGTGGATGTGTATAAAGTATTATAAATAGAAACTGCTCAGAGGTTTTACTGTGCTGACTGCAATAGCACATTGTGCACATTCTCCCAGAACTTGTGTCTCTGAATTATTTGAGAATTGGTTCTCTTTTTAAATGCATCACCACTAAATATATTAAACGTAGGCTACAAGTTGGCATTAAAACACCATTTTATGTTTGCAGATATTTAGGAAACATGCTAAGCTCACATACTTGTTTCTCTGAAAAACAATGCTTCAGCCAATTATTCTACTTTGAAATGTGTGTTCTGTGTCGGAATGTCTGTTTTATGTTTTGGTCTGTGTGATTCCACCAACTGCCAGTTTATCCAACAGTATTTAAATTCTCTGGGTTGCCATTTGGCGGAAAACAGTGTATTGTAGCCATGGAAGTGAGCAAACGAACTGGGTCAGAGATCACAGCATGGCCGTGGGAACTAGGGGTGCTGCAGAACCCCCTGCCGCAGGGCCGGGTCTAAGTAATTAATCTAATTAGTAACATATTAAAATGACCAGAGATATAGTGCATTGTATTTTTCCTGCGCGCATCCCTGCAGCTTCCCCTCACTGATATGATTTCATGTGAAATGTTCACGCCATATTATCATAATTTTAAATTCCGACTTGTAAATAGCATTCAGGTCCTCTTCTTTTTTATGAGCCATTTTCCGAAGCTTTCTCGCTTCTCAAGACTGCCACCGACAATCACATGAGCACAACAGTGTTCAAACGCGCTCAAACAACTGTAGCGTAATCTATTAACTACACACATCATAACGTTATTATGTCATAAAATATTTTAATAAGACTGAATTTGTATTTAACCTGATCACGTTTAATAAAAAGACATTTTAAGTTTCTAATTGTAACGCCACGATTATTCAAACAACGAATAAAGTATACAGCGAGCAAAGAACATTTACATTATCAAATAATTAGCTATAATAACTGAATTCAGTCCAGCGCGAGTGTAAGCACTCTAAAAAAGCTCCTGTTATAATCAGTGATGTTGTCTGCAGCTGCAGTATATGATGAATGAATCTCGTACATCTTCATATACTTCATGTACATCTGCACTTTGTTGTTTCTGATGAGAGAATTTGCCAAAGTGCAGAATTTAGTCAGCGAGCGTGTGCACTGACCAAAACGGCATATCAGTGATGTTAATATTTAGCAAAATCCCCTTAAATAACAGAAATATTAAATAAAAAAATGATTGAACTAAAATCACAAAGCAGAAATATATATTTGTTCTCATATATCTTCATTCATTTGTATGTTCATCTATAAGAGTTTGGGCTGTTTAATATTAGGATTTTGTCTACCAAAAAAAAAAAAAATCCCCCACCGTGGCCCCGCCCTGCAACATCAAGCCCCGCCCCCAACACCCCCCAGATAAAATTGTTCCCGCGGCTATGGATCACAGATTCTATGCAACCTAGCCTCAGCATCCATTTAAAAAGCTGTATGACCAGAGGAATATTACAATTTGCATAAATCAACCCATCAGTTTACAGTGTAAGGTTTGTTGCCGTCCATTGTCAATTGCACTCGTTCCTGTTGCGTCTCTTCAAGCTGGCAACCCGAGCGCCGAGTCTGAGGAGGAGAGGGCAGAAGAAACAATGCTCTCCAGTATTTTGAATTTGGACTGTAGTACATATTTCAACTGCTAGCTGTCAATATTACATAACTTTAATAGAGAGAATTGCTTCATGTTAGCACAGTACATTGTGCCTTATTTTTACAGACATTTCTTAGAGTGTTGTTGGACAACAGTCAACCTGGAACAACCGTAATACTAAATCAACTACATTTTTTCAGCAGTGAAAACTCAGCCTTTTTCATAAGAGTCTAGCTTTTCCAGTATAAAAAGCATTTTTACAGTAGCGTTGCAGCATGACAAAATTAATCACTGTTTTTGTCACATTATTTTGCACAAACAGCCTTACAACCAAGCAGACTATAATGATTCTTTAGAACCTCTGGGAAGAGTGATTCATTTCAGAAAGTTTGTTTAGACAATTCTTTTTAATAAACTGCTTTTCATTTGAATCATCACTCAATTATATTCCTGGAACACCATGCATGGCATTTCCTTTCCATTGATTTCCTTTTTGTCGTTTCGTTAAACATTGCTGTTGAGCATTATTTATATTTTATTTATAGTATTTCAAAGTGAATAATTCTGTAATATAAATAAAAATGTTGTTAAATCATATAATCTGATACTTATATAATGTAAAACATATTGCCTCTTTAGTTAGCTACTTTTTTTATTAAGAGCTTGCTACTTTTTTTAAAGAGCAACTTGACTTTGATTAGATGTTTTCCAGCTCTGGCTAAACATTGCTCTTCATTTCTCCACCTGTTTTCAGAAGGTGAGATTTGGCTGAGTGAACGCTGTATCAAGAGAAATTCTAGTTAACTTGGTGCCAACTTTTGCAATCCTCTTAATGTCAGTGAGAAACAGAGTAACTTTAACAGAGTTTAACTGGATGTACTTTCACACGGGACAGTAACAGACTTTAAAATGATACTTATACTGTCCCATCTATTAGAATATTATAGCATTAGTGGTATTATGGTTTAAGTCTTGGTGATGAGTTGGGTGGATTTCCCTTCATCCTCCTGAGGTGCCACTGTTTTGAGTTAAAGACTCGTCTTATCATGTCAGATTTCCCAAGACCACAGACATCACGGATAGATGTGTGTTACATGTGGAGATTGGCCCAAATTAGATTTTGTTTCAAATAAACAATGTTCTTTTGTCAATTCATCAATGGATACTTAAAATAAAGTGTAGTGGTTTCAGAAAAATAAGTAGCACAACTGTTTTCAACATCATTGATTACAATCAGAAGTGTTTTTGAGCAGCAAATCAGCATATTAGAATGATTTCTGAAAGATCATGTGACACTGAAGACTGGTTAAATCACATTTTTAAATAGATTCAAATAGAAAACTGTTGTTTAAAATTGCAGTAATATTTCATAACATTGCTGTTTTTAGTTTTTTTTTTTTTTTTAATGCAGCCTTGTCTTACCTACCCTAAACTTTTCAATGATAATATAAATACAATTCTGAAAAATACATCACAGTAGTATTTATTTTGCTAAACTTAATTTGTGTTTTTTATTTAATTTGAAAAATATTATTTTGTCTATGATTTTCACTGCTGAATTACAGTATGATAATGAAGAATATTACAGTATGAAAATGATATTTTTTCAAATGACAGTAATAGGAATAAGATTATATGCATTACTATAATGACAGTTTGAGGGGAAATGTGCTTAACTGACAAAATAATGCTGCAATACTTAATCTTAAACCTATAAAATAGGCTTTAATTTCTTTATGCACAATGTATTCATTTTATTTTAGTTTAGTTGTGTGTGTGTGCGTGCGTGCGTGCGTGCGTGCGTGTGTGTGTGTGTGTGTGATCGTGTGTGTTCTTTGTAAATTCCCTGCTGTATGTGTAACTTCAAGCACATTGTGATATTGGGATTCGATTTTAACAAGCCTGTTTCAATTCCAATCATCAGACGTTACTGAGAGTCTGATGTCAGAACAGTTCCAGATTGGCCTAGAAATCGTCCCGCTTTAGTTTTGTTCTGTAGCTTAGTTTGGGAGGGTTCAAGAATGCAGTCTGCATGCACTTTTACAGGACAGGTTAATGTGTATATGGGGTTTCTCTTTGCATTTTTGTGTGCATGTATGTAGGTATGTGAGTATGAAAATGATATTTTTTCAAATGACAGTAATAGGAATAAGATTATATGCATTACTATAATGACAGTTTGAGGGGAAATGTGCTTAACTGACAAAATAATGCTGCAATACTTAATCTTAAACCTATAAAATAGGCTTTAATTTCTTTATGCACAATGTATTCATTTTATTTTAGTTTAGTTGTGTGTGTGTGCGTGCGTGCGTGCGTGCGTCTGGTCTGGTCTGGTCTGCACATGCTTCATTTAGACATCAAAGAGCGCTGCTGATGATTTTGCCTTACAATCCCCCCTCTCCTCCATCTGTACAAACAAACCCCGACAGCTCGGCCCAGCCCGAGACGTGTCAGGTGATCACGCACGTGAGCGACGGGAATTAATACGCCTTCCACATTTATACGGCTAAAAACCCTTTTAGCATCTCTTTTATGTAGTTTCTGAAGCACGTTCTGATTTTCAAGGGATTTAGAGGTGCTTTTTAAGAGCCGGCCTGAGTCTCATCAAATTAAAACCGCTCTCTGAGAAGAATTCTCAGCCTTTTTATCTATCAAATACAAACATTTACGATATGCAAGGCAAATGGTACAACATAAAACTCAACTCCTTGGTGGTTTATTTTATTGCTTTTTTCTTCTTTTCTTCCACCCAACAGTCTATAAGACAAATCAATAAGTCCTGAATAAAGGATTATATTTGGGAAAACCTTCAGAGATTGCTGCCCCTCCCAGCACAAACACACACAATGAGAAACATACAATGGTTTGCTATGCCGTTAATGGATTTGTGTGACCCTGTCATTGTTTCTTCCAGTGGCAATAAATATTCAATACTTCAGAAAGGGAAAAAAATATATATATATTATCAATATTTTCTGATTATGGCTGTCATTCTTAAACACAAATGCATTTGACAGATGCTTTGATCGAAAGAGACTTTGCATTCAAGGTATACATGTTATCTGTTCAGGTATTACCTGGGAATCAAACCCATAACCTTAGTTTTGCTAGCGCCATGCTCTAATGTTTGTGCTACAGGAGTATTATCACTCAGGTAGAGTATGGAGTATGGAGGTACA